CTAAAACTAATTAAAGAAAGAAAACTCGTGACGCCATACGATAAAGTGCTTAGCATCTTAATTACTTCAGTTAGCATGGCAAGTCAACATGTCTGTCTGAAAAGTATCAATCAGATGAGTGGCCCATGGGCACCCATGGGCGGGCCGATTTTTTTAGGAAAAACCATGGGCTGGGCCGGGCCGATGTTGATAGCCCATGGGCTGGTTTTTATTAGCCCGACCCGGCCCATTGAGACCTCTGTAAGATATATAAATTAAAGAGACTATTATAATATGAGAGATAGAAAATATGAGAGTTTCTTCTTTCTCATGTTAGTTTCGTATTGTGCATTGTCACCATGACTGAGTAACTACTTTGTTTGACATGTATTCACAAGGTACTGTATGGAAAGAAGAGCTTGCGATGAGTCGTCAGGTTCATAGAGATTTTTCTTTCGAACCCAAGCGGATCAAATTTTATTTCTTTTTTTCAAGGCAAACTTTCCACGTAAGAAAACAAAACATCTGATTTTTTGACTATGAAGATAGATTTCATTTTATTTTCATTGATCAAAAAAAGACTACAATTGGAAATAACCAAGAATCTTTATTATGCAATCGTTTCGAAAGTTTCATTTAGTCAATAAATAAAAGCAAAGCATTTATTCTATTCAATGACATTTCTTATCTACACACATGATCGAGGGTAGTATCAATTGGATTAAGTAGCATGAATGTTATTGAAGTGAAACAATGTTAAACTATGTAACAAAAAATAGTAAGCTATTTCATGCTTTGAAATTGTTTAGCGAGCATTTTACTCGTGAAATTAATAAATAATAGTTTTCAAGAAGTTGAAGTACTAGCGAATGTCTCGTGCTCATTTGGTTCCATAAGTAATTTGACTTATCTTTCATGCTGTTTTATTCGAGCATTAAAATTTTCAGATTTTATTCAACTCGTGATCGTTATGATATCAAATTTTTTACAATATTTGCAGCCACTGTTGAGTTTCATCGTTTAGAAATTCGTTTTGTAAAATAAATATATTTCTAATATTGCCATTCTAAGGTGGACCGGCTCATGAAAAACTTGTCTGATTTCGAGATCTGGTCCAAACCTCAGTACTACTAGTCATGATACATCTGTTATTGTGATTAGTTAATGTGTATGATAAACTCTGAGTCAGGTTAATCTTCTGTTTTGAGCTACGGCTAGTCTGAAAAGCAGGAGTATTTTTTCTTTCATATATTATGTTACAATGCTGAATTCGACAAAGAAGTTATTTGATATTGATGTGAAGTTTGAAAAAAAAAAAACAATTTTTTTTAATTTTACTAATGTATTTGTTATGATTATGAAAATCATTTTTCAGGCTATTCTACTAGCGGATATTCTACCAGCATTAATTATTAAAGTAACAGCTCCATTTTTTATGCACAAAATCTTATATAAGTAAACGCTAATCGCTATTTTTATTTTTCCATATTAATGAATTGATTTCTTTTATCATTCAAGTATTCGTTTTGTTCTGATTGTATTATTTGCTGCTAGTGCTTTGATCGTTGTTGGTACTTCAAATGTAGTTGCTTTTAGTTTATTCGGTATGTTAATTGACATAGTTTATGAAATATAAACAAAAATTCTTAATCGAAGGTGTTGTTTGTGCAAGCATCAGTTCAGGTTTTGGTGAAATTACAATGTTGCAATTAACATCTTTTTATTCAAAATATACAGTCAGTGCATGGTCAAGTGGTACAGGTGCTGCTGGTTTACTTGGTGCTCTTTCATATGCAGGACTAACAAGTCTACTTAAATTAAGTCCTAAAACTGCTATTCTTATTTTACTCTTCATACCTGTTATTCAAGTTATCAGGTAAAAAAAAGAATATTAAAAAAAAAACATGTATTTCTCTAAATGAAAGTTATTTGATTTACATATATATATATAAAGTTACATAATGGTCGGAGCTAGTCAAGCTGCTGCAAGACATCGTCAATATCAACAAATAAGTGAACATACTAATCCAGATGGTAATACAGGTAGAAAGAATAATAGATTTATTAGAAAATTTCTATGCATTTAATATGTAGGCAATGATGGTAATGAAAAGATAATAAATGTAAATCCAACATGGAAAACTTTTGGTGATCGTCTTACACTAGTCAAAGTATACAATTAATAATAATGTTGTCTCTAATTTTGTTTTTTATTATTGATTGATTTGTTATAGCCATTACTCAAGTATATGATCCCATTGACAGCTGTTTATTTTGCTGAATATTTAATCAATCAAGGATTGGTACATATGAGTCTTTTTGAGATTAACATGTTCTTATATATATATCCATGATGAGTTGAAATTTAGCAATTTTATTTATTCATAAATTAACTTTTTAAAGTATTATGTTTGTATTTTTCTTTATGTAGTATGAACTCATCTTCTTTCGTAATATAAGTACTGCACATTCTGCACAATATCGTTGGTAAGTAATAATAAATAATACAAATTTAACTCAATTTTATTTAAAGTTTAACATATTCAAAATGTATTGTTCTAATGAGAAAACTAACTGAACGAATACTCGCTGTTTGAACTTAGTAAGACTAGTAAAATTCGAAAAGGATTCGTCCTCATCGATCTTTGGAACTGACGAGAGAACCTCTCCAGGTGTTAAATCGCTTTTCGCTCAGGACCATTGCCATTCGATAGGTCCTAGTGAGCAGTGAATAAGTCTATCTTGGTTTGCGTGCATGGGCCTCTGGGACTGACGAGGGAA